CACACTGCATGCTCACATGCTGTCACAGAGCTGTGCCAAATCATGGCTATACTGTGGCACAGACGCCCCCCCCACTGCTCCTGCTGGCTTGCATTTCCCTCACTCCCATATTTTATCCCTCCACATTAGCCAAGAACTCTTAACGACAGCATGCGGCCTTCGACCTTTAACCCCGACCTAAACTTACACCAGCCTAAACCCTTTAAGCAGCACATTGGAGGAGAAAGTTCTCACTTTCCAAACCCATCCAGGTTTGCACCTCTATAAATAAAGACCTTCAGCGTATTTGTTCTCCACTGAATATTGTCGCAGGAAATTAGAACGCGTGCGTGACAGAGACATTTACCACATCATAAAATCCAGGACTGATATGAAAATACACGTGCGTGTCTTTGAGCGTTTGTCTGAGAGGTGATAAGGCAGCACTCTGGACTAAAGGCGTAATTGGTTAAAAATAATCCAAGGTCCTTCGGAGGAGACATTCCCTAAATGGCGAGCGAGACGATGAGGACTTTTTATCTGCCATTCCATGTTTAGTCTCACTCCAGCACACGCACGCACGCACGCACACACACACACGGTGAGCAAACCAAACCAAGAAAAAGAACGTATGGTGCAGGAAGTAGAGGGAGTTGTTGAAGTACGGAGGGTGTCTAATAAAAAATAAACCAAGCAACATTTGTGACTTTTTATATTGAGCTGTAAAAATAGAAATGATTAAATGGAGGCTATAAATGAAAGAAAAAAGGAGCCTCGTTTGTCTGCCACTGTTGTGCTGTTTTACCGAGGGAAGTGTTCGTCCCGCATGAGTAGAACGTGATTTACTGCATGTGTGGGAGAATTAGGAGGCACTTCTGACCACGCGTATGCAGATTCACCTCATAAAGAAGGTGTTTACATGAGATATGTAAGCCTGAGCCACTTAACATCCCCGTTGGAATTACTGTAATCCAGATGCTCAAAAGTAGGTAAAATTCTTGACTCAAAAAAAAAAAACATCACTGTCTGGTCAAATGAATGTCAACTAAACCAAGTTAATATCTCACAAATTAATGAGAGTGCAGGCTCTTTTAAATCAAATATATTCAAATAAAAGTTGCACTTGCACTTGTCAGAAAATTGTAGCCATTTGCTAAAACCTCCTGCATGTACCAGAGAATTTAGTCAATTATGCACAGAGATTCTGCAGTGACAGCAACGAGGTTCTTCTACAGACATGTGAGACTTTGTGAGCCAAAGCTAGACTTACTCGAACACTGCCATAAACTCATTCATCTTTTGGGTAGATGCAAAGAAGATGGACAAAGACCTTGGTAATGAACACATACTGTAGGTCTTACTGACTTTGAGTCTTTATCACTCCAGGACATTGAAGGAAGGTTCAGTATGTTGGTGATTCAAATGTGTTACCAGACTTTTTATTATGTGATTACTATCAAGCATTGACATTACTGAGATGATCCATTTTTCTTCCATACGTTTTTCAGTATTTAACTTGTTCCACAGTTTTTGTTCATATTCAAAGGTTCAGCTCATTTATGCCATGCGTGACTGTTGGTATTTCAGCAACTTGTACTTTTTGGCTCTTTAGCTTTTTCTCACATTTTTTTTCTCTTTGAAAATATAATGTGTTAAATTAAGTTTTACCTCCACTCCCATAATTTCCTTGATCTCTTTTTATACAGATTCCCAAAAAGAGATCAGCTTTCATCAGTCCCAAAATATAAGGATGAAGACACCCACCTCTCCTCATTTTCTCCAACATAAAGTAGATACACTATATTACAATATTTGGAAATGATGATTGCAGTATTAAAATAGCACCTTCCAGTCAAATTCCCTCCATGTTGGACTGCTGGTTAATTTATGCCCAGACTTGAATGTTTCCTCCCAGTCATCATCTTCTATTATTACATTTGCTTCTAATTCCCATTTTTCCTTTACACTCAAGCTGTTAACCATGGAATGGCTCTGAAATGCTTTATCAATTTAAAAAATGATCCTTTTCATCAAGTCAACTTCCATACACGCCATAAGCAGCACTTCAGTTTTGTTGCCGCTTTGAACGTTTTTGCTATAAATACAATAACGCACCTATAAAATGTATAGGTGTGTTGTCCTGATGCATCTCAGTAATCCAGGTAAAAAATCAAAAAGAAAAAAAATCTGGACGGGTTCTTCTCTAATGAAACGTTTGGTCTCTCCTCCAAGAGACTTCTTCAGTCTGAGAGTTTCAGGCAAAATTCAGGCTTTTAAGCCCTGCCTCCGCCTATCAGTCACATGGAGGCAAGGGCTTAAAAGCCTGAATTTTGCCTGAAACTCTCAGACTGAAGAAGTCTCTTGGAGGAGAGACGAAACATTTCATTAAAGAAGAACCCGTCCAGAAGACCTACACAATTTTTTTCTTTATAGGTGTGTTATTTTTATACCCTGTGAACATCATCAAGCAAATACGCACCTGGAAAATGTTCTAGTTTTATTGTGAACACTAAGTTTCTCCTTATAAAAATTGAGATTTTTTTTCTGCGCACAGTTCTTATAAATTATACTTTGAAAACTGTACAATGATTAACTCCTGTTTAAATCTTCTTTTGGGTCTGGATAAGTGAAGTTTCTATGTTTTATTGAAGCATGTTTAGGTTTTCTTCAGGTACTTTGGTTTCCTACCATGGCTTAAGGGATGCAGGTGAGGTTAACTCATGGGTGGGCAATACTGGCCCTCGAGGGTCGAAAGCCTGCATGTTTTACTTGCTCCTTGCTTCAACACACCTGATTTAATTTTAAAGAGCTGAAGAAGCTCATTAATCACCCATTCATTCATATCAGGTGTGCTGGAGCAGAGGAAGAAGTGAAACATAGGATAGCAGCCCTCAAGGGCCAAGTTTGCCTGAAATAATGGCTTCTTGTCTCATACATTTCCATGTCTGAGATCTTCTCCTTTCTTCTTCATTAGCAACTCCATCTTCAACATCCTGTTCAGTCCTGTCCAACATTGTTCAATATACCCACAATCCTTCCTCTGTACAAGTTCAAACCATCTCAGCTTTTCAATTCCTTTCTAATTCACAGAGTTACTCATTCTAACTCCTAATTTTCTGTCACCTCATTCATAATTAAACATTTTACATCTAAGATTTTCTTCATGTAGCTATATTTTTGAGTCATATTTTGTAATGTGTAAAGATGAATGCAGGTATGTTTAGGTCAATAAATAAAAAAATGATTTGACCTCTACAGCTTGAAGAGAAACCAATAAACACTTACTGTACACATAATAAAATAAAAGAGAGAAAATGTATGTCTGCCTTTCTGTGTAAAACTGTGAAAGATGAAAGGAGGAGATGATTGAGGCTGGGGACAAATCAGTTGTTTTCATGTTGAGAGGAGAAACCTTTGAACTGAGTCACAAAAAAGGGAGGAAAACGAAACGATAGAGAATTGATTTCTCCCTTCTGTCGAGGCGAGCAGGGAGACGAGCGTCTCCCAAAAGGTTCTGTTCAAAATATGGAGAGGAAAAAGGAAGGCGTGGAGAGGAAGATTAAGACAAGCAGACGATAGAGCCCGGTAGTGATGGAGTGTGATGTGTGTGCTTGTCACACGTGTTTCAACTGGAACTCACAAAGAACTATCCAATTAATGCCTGCCTGGACTGATTTACTGGCTCCTTCATCAGCTGCACTTCACTATAATCACAATTTAGTTCCAGATTTTAATATTTTTACTCAGATTTTGTGCTGAAACCTGTCAACTCTGAAGGAAACATACAGTTTGTCTTGTAACTTCCTAAATATGTGTTCAAACAAAGTTCTCTTTTGGTGAATAAACAAAACTTTGAGAATAACGTCTGTAAGCTGATAAACGTGTACAATTAATCAATTAGCCACAAACTCAGACTATGAGAATATCTATTGGGTTGGGTAAAATTATTTTCTGTGCACTTATGCATCAGAAAAATTGACACTAATTAATTGTTTCCATTTTGCAATTAATGCAAATAGTTTGTGTGCAACCTACTATCCAGGGAGCATGCAAGCCCAAAGGCGACAATGGAGCAGCTAACGCTAACCGCCATGAACCAGACTATGAGGAAAGCCGGAAAATGCAAACCAAGTCAACGTTGGCTACATCAAACTCTCCTCTAGCGAATGGTGGAAACAAATCCACTCAGCCAAGAATCCATAAAACTCTCAGTAAATCTGTCCCTTAGGAGAGGCAAAATAAGAGCTGAAAGGAGAGAACGTGGGCTGTGGCTGTTATAATGAAGAAGTTAGTTTGACTGGTGATTTATGGTGATGTGAAAAAGGAGTTATTATTTTATTTTGAAAAAGAAAATCAAAATGTGAAAATATATGAATTTCTTAAAGAAAATAACAAGCTTCTGTTAAAAATTCTAGTTAATATTCTCACTTATTTGTTTTTGTTTATAATAAATCAAGAAATCTGAGAAATTTGCTTGGAGAATGTTGGAATTTGACAGAAAAAGCTCTAAGCAGGCTGCTCCCGTTTGTTCCTTTTCTTCCTTACAATTAAAAATGGCAGAGCCCCAAAAATGCCCCTGAGCCCCGATGGGAGGATGCTGGCTTAACTGGATTATTTTCATGAAAAACAGCCTTCAGTTCAGACCCTGAGGAGGAAGTCTGTTTATTAGGAAGGTGCGTGTTTGATCAATTTATTTTTAGAAATTCCTCATTTTATATGAGATCTACAAAATGGAAGAAATAGTATGAAAACATTCCTTCATGCTCTCTTTTATATTTTTATTGTTATCCACAACTGAAAATCTGTCCAACTTCAGTCTTTCCTACTACATCCCTGCATTAGGCAAATAAACCCTGCATGTTTGTCAAAAAAAAAAAAAAAAAGAAAAGCTGTATTCAACTGAACAGTGAGTTGGTTTTCTTCTATTTTTCAAGCCTGCATGTTTGATTATTGGGGAAACACAGAGGTGGTGTAACAAGCTGTAATACTTCTTTTCTTGTGCTAGTTCATGTAAGACTCACCTTTGTAGTAGAAAAGACAGAAATCGGCCAAGACAAACCACTTCCTCTTCCAAAGGCGCATCCCAGAGCTGTCCTGCAGAGAGAAAAAGAGGACATGAGAGTGTTAATAAAAAAAAACAACTCATGAATAAAAAGATGAAACAAACTGAAGTAGAAAACAAGAAGCACTGGACAGAGATCGTCAGTCTGAAGAGAAAGGAGGCAGATTAGAAAAATGAATAAAGGAGAAAAAGCCAAGGAAAGCAAATGCTGTCAGAAAATGCAACTAAAAAAAGAAAGGTTCAGATGGACAAGATAAAGACAGAGCCCAGCAAAGACAGAGAGAAGAAAGGAGCTCTTATTTGTCTGCTGGCTCGCTGCACTTGGACAGCTTTACCGTTCATTTTATCTTTTATGCTCTCTGGCTGAAAATAAAACCATTTAAAGAGCAGAAAGGACACAGAGGAAGAAAAAATCACCTCAAACAGCTCTAAATACTAGTCCTTTGATTAAAGATGCATGAAGCTCCAGCCATGTAACAATGGTGTGTGTGAGCAGATGAAAAGAAATAAAACAGTCAGTCCATTTGGTTGAGATAAAGCTAACCTGTGGATGGTGTGTGTGGGAGTGTGCATTTTTACAGGATGCTCCCCACTGCCTATCATAGTTTTTATAATGGGAAAATGGGTGTTTTGTGTCCCTGTTGTGTTTGTGCTTGTGCCATCGTGTGCTACCACCTGATTACAGTCACCCTGCAGGAACAACGCTCAGAGATTGCTGCACTACTACCATGGTGATACGTTTTATGTCATGTCACATTAGGTGTGATTAAAACAACGTTACAAGTAAATTTAAAACAAAAGAAGCATTCATAATTTGGGTTTACCTCCAGTATTCAGTATTTAACATCTCATTGCAGTGTAAATTTCATCAGGTAAGTTGATATATATATTTAAAAAGAAATTCTTCAGTCTGTGATAAAGTTCCAAACTCCGCCATGAAGAAAATCCCCTGCCGTCTTCATTTTTCTGTTTAGTTTGCTGACGGCACATTGAATCCTGGGATACGGTTGGCCACATAGGATACGTAGACAGAGGCTACATTTTTGTGGTTTTGTGGGCCGCGTTTTTTTTTGTGACACAAACCGGACAATGTAGTACTACAAACTACATCCTAATAAAAGTTCAAATTTAAACAATAAATCAAGATTTATGTTGTGTATTAAAATTCTGTGCACAAATACTAAAACATATATCCTAATCTAAAACAATCGTGATTAATCAGAACAAATGGTTATGTGTGTGAGTTCATCCTTTAACTTGTACCTGTTTGTACAGCCATCCTCGGACCACCACTGGCACATTGGGATTCCTCTTGATGGCTTGCTCTCTCTTCCCAAAACTGTGAACCTTACCAATGGATCGAGAGGCCTGTAAACATACACACTGTGTGTAAAAATAAATCCACACAACAAACACAACTTGCATTCCTTGTTCAATTCCATTGTTGGATATGTTGTAATATGCTCATCATCCTGAGTGACAGGGGGTCTAGTGACACGCACAATGTAAATAAAAGACATTTTAAAAGTATGAACATGCAAAAAATAGCCATGACAGCTGTGCTTATCCTCAGCTTTTAAAGGAAAAAAAATTGTATAGGTCCTCTGGACGGGTTCTTCTTTAATGAAACGTTTCGTCTTTCTTCCAAGAGACTTCTTCAGTCTGAGAGTTTCAGGCAAAATTCTCCAGGATGTTCCATTGGCTGCCATCAGCCTGTGTGGCTT